AAAAAAAAAGAGCTAAAATGATATATATAGAGAAATACTGTTAACTGATGGTACATGGAGGGGATTATAATCATTGTAATGGAACAAGGTATATAATTTGTTGAATGTAAAACTGATGATCTGCCCTGTAAACTTTCACTCAATTCACAATAAAAACACTTAAAATAATAATAATATGAGAAGTAATAAAGGAAAAACATATTAGATGCACACATACAAAACAAAAAACATATATACATTTAAATGTCTAAAGGGCACATTCTGCAAGCCAGCCACTTCCCATTGGCACACAGCCTTCCTCAGTCCATGAGCCTTGAGTCCACAGCTGCTCTATCTTTCCACACCACCACCTCTGCTGTTACCACTTTTCTAGGCAGGAATTCCACGGTCCTCTCATGCCCTTCCTTCTTGATGGTCCTGGTATCGTCTGTTCTAAAATGATAGATTAACTACTTCCCCTTTTTAGATATACATATTCTATAATTAGCTTTGACAACAAGTCCCACTAACTATTCCCACTAACAACTAATCCCACTAACAATTGCTCATAATTGAAATCATAAAATCCTATCAGTATCATTTCCTGCCCATCTGGAAAAGAGAAAACTAGTCAGTAGGGATTGTACTGTATTCCACTCATTCTGAAACTAAGCATACCTACAAAATCTTGTAGGCCAGCCACTTCATGCCTTTATAGTCCCCTGCCCATTATTGATAGCCAGGTTTGAACCACAAGGTCAGTGGTTCAAACACACCAGCTGCTCCTTGGAAACCCCATACAGGGTCGCTATTATTAGAAATGAACCCCAATGTCGCACAAAAAGACACTTGGTAAGACTAAATTACCTCAGCAAGGCAAAATTTACATTTTCAGAAGTGTGTGTGTACATAGCTGTACAGGAACAGGTTAGCGAGCACACTGGGCAGGTGGTCTGCTCAGGTTTTATCCCTGATGTGAATCTTAAGGCTGTGTCCATCCCATTTGTTAGGGCTTCAGCTGCACAGTTTTGTCCTTACCCTATTGGCTATTTCAAATTTCTAAGGCATGCATTCTTGTCCTTACTTTGTTGACTAGTCCAAATTGCTAAAGCAAGGCACACCTTCCTGTCCTTATGTAATTGGCTATTCCAAATTGCTAGGGGAGTTTTAAAAAGTCCCTACTCCAGAAAGTAGCAAAAATGAAACAGAAACGTCATCTGAATACAATAAACAGAATTACAATAAATATGAAGAAAAGACACTCATTCCCACATTATGAGTCAGAACCAACTCTATGGCACTTAACAATAACAACAGTGTCTAAATTTCCTGCCCTTATCAACCCAGTACACCAAGGAGACAAGCATGTTCCTTGATCTGCAGAATTTGCCATTGCAGTTGGAAATTTCAGCAGTTGCATCCGTAAGCAAAACTCCATCAGGGATAGCAATTTATACCTGCTGACAGTGTCCGTCATCAATATCTTCCCTTGGCTGGGTTCTGGTCACAGCTCAATCCTGGCTATTTACTAGGTCAAATGAGTACCAGATACAAGTTTGGGAGTTCACACACACCTCCATGTACTTCAAACCAGCTGATCCCTTCACTCTCAGGCCTGCCTCCAAGGACTCAGTCAGTGCTCACGGGATCAGCAGTTCACACAACTCTCTAAACTTCCGACTGGTCAGTACTTCCTCTTCTTTCATCTCAAGGTCAATGGTTGCCAATGGAACATGTCCAAACTCAATCCTTGTCTTTATTGCTGCATTCCCCCCAATTCTATTCAAAAGTAAACCCAGGTGGTTGACATTGAGCATGTGACTTGATGGTTCCCTTTAACTTTCAGTTCTAGAAAAGGATTTTCTCTGATGGGCACAGACTTTTCTGGCCTTGATGTCTCCAAGGTGAACAGCTTGCTTGACACAAGCTGGTTTTTCTTTAGAAATAGTCTGAATCCCCCCACCCCTTCCTTCTTTCTTTCAATCATGAATCCCCTGTTCTCCCAACAGGTCTGGGTTGGTTTGCATAGCTTTTCAAATACCAGTGTCCTCACTCTGAAAGTTCCCAGTGGGACTCAGGATTCCACTTAAGGCCCCCTAACTCTACAAAGGCTTAAAGCAAAAATCCTATTTCTTTCTGGGAAAACTCTAACTCCCCCTTTAGCAATTCCAATTGCATTTAGGCTGAAGGTGGGTTATAAGATCTCTGTAATCCTAATTCCAAATATTCATTTATACAACACATGTATGTCTTTTTTTACAATAGCAGGCAGGGAAAATCAGTATTCAAAAAGCAATCAAACACATAGCCTTTTAAAAATTCTCAAGTTCAATCTTTTCTTCTCTTGAACTAACCTCATCCATATGCATATGGCCTTGGGCCTTTAGCAGGGTGGATTCCTGTAGGCCTTGGCTCCCTATTAGGAATCTAGTTCAATTAGCATGACATCCGCTTTAGACAATTCCAGAAGCTACAGCTCCCCGCTCTGCTGAAGCATGTTATCCTCTATGTCCTTTCAGCCCCTATGGGTAGCAAAATCCAAACTAACCATCTAAAATTCAAAAGTTTCAATTCCAATGTCCCTTTGTTCTCTCTCCTTTGAAGTCTCATGCTTCCATGAGGCTGGAGCCATTGCAGTAAATCCCTCTCCTGATGTCAACTGTAAAACCCATGTGTGGGCCATGCCCGACCTCCTCTGACTTCACAAGAGAGAAAGAGAATCAAAATCAAATTCAGCCCATGGCCGATTTCTATGAAATTGAGATCAGACATGACTCTGCATAGGGCATGCAGGGACTTTAAAATTAGTCAGACATGGATATCAATGAAGAAAAATCAACATTGTGATTTTTTTTTTCTTTTCCTCTACAACCTCATTCCTGGAGCCCACTCTTAAGCAGGATTTCTAGAGAAACTAGAGTAATGAATCATATGTATTATATATATATTGTCTGTTACCCACCATATATATATATGTCTATTATCAAGAAAATGATGTGTAATTGTTGAGTCTCAGGTCTCCAGTGGAAGAGAGAAAGAGAGAGAGAGCCTTTTCTGCGTGTCCATTTTATTGAGAGCAGGCCACACTGCCAAAGACACATCCCTTCAATTGATTGGCTATTCATAGCTACTCATCATAGAGTTAACTATGCCTGTATGAGGTTTCATCACCGTGGAATAAGCACATGTCAATTTCCAAACCACAGGAAATCCTGACCTAGTCTAATTGACACAGAACACTAACTGTCATAGTCCAGAGCCTGAAAAGGTCACATGCAGGTGTGGTTGGTGAGCCGAAGTCAGAGATTCAGGAACCTCAGGAACAGAACTTGGGTGTCTAAGGCAGATTCCAGTTTAAGCTTTTCTGTTTTACATTTACAGCCCGGACAAGAAACTGTCCCCAAAGACAATACAGGCAAAATCCTGGGCAGTAAAAGAACATTCTTGGATGTCTGGCAGGTAGGTTCCAGCTTTTTCTAAATGAAAAGTCTCCTTCATCGATCTGTGCTCTCCACGCTGGTGTGAAACAGCCCAGGTGCCTGATGCTACTTAATTGCCTTGCCGTCATTTAGTAGTTCTTACACTTCCTACCAATTACCCACTTGTGGCGACATTTCTTCTTCTTCTGACGTATTTATTCTCGTATTGCCAAAGGCTAAGACTGAATCCTCATGTGCAAAAGGAAATATAATTTCTACCCAAGTCTGGGGCATATACAAATAGTATTCTCCTACCAGCACTGAATGTTTTGAGCAGGATTTGACCTGTGTTGCCAACACTTGTGTTCCTGTGATGCTGGACGCTTGGCACCAGTATTTTAAAAACTGGCAGGATCACCTATAGTGGGCAGGTTTCCATGGAACTTCCAGACCAAGATAGACTAGGAAAAAGGAGAGGCAGACCACTTCGGAATGGTTATTGTTGTTGTTGTTGTGAAGTGCTGTCAAGTCGGTTCCGACCCATAGTGATCCTGTACAGGGTTTCCAAGGAGCAGCTGGAGAGCTTAAACTGTCGACCTTACAATTCAAACAATTTTGCAGTCCAGCACGTTAACCCATGGCACTATGCCAGGACTCTGAATGGTTAGCAACCAAAAACCTTATGAATACCAGTAAAACATTGTCAGATATAATGCTAGACAACGGGTCCTACAGGATGGAAGGCATTAAAAATATGACTGGAAAAGAGCTTCCTTTGTAAAGGAAGGTGACAGTATTGACAAAAATGGAGCAAAGCTTTCAGGACCTTCATTTGCTGATGGGGCACAACTCAAAATGAGAAACAATAGCTGCAAACATCCACTAGTAATTGAAATGTGGAATGTATAAAGTATGAATCCGGGAAAATTGCATTTTGCATGGCCAGTTCATGGCAAATACCTTTTGAAAACCTAAAAAGCAACTATACCCAAGAAGCTAAAGAAATGTAATACACAGGAATCAGATAGACTACATCTATAGGAAGAGAAAAAAAAAAAAAAAAAAACCGGCCAGGGGTTGATTGTGGAACAGACCATCAATTGCTAATATGCATATTCAGGCTGAAGCAGAAGAAAATTCAAATAAGTCAATGAGAGTCACAATATGACCTTGAATAGATACCACCTGAATTTAGATACCATATGAAGAACAGATTTGATGTGTTAAATACTAATAACTGAAGACTAGAGGAGTTTCCACATGACCTCAAGACCATCACACATGAAGAAAACTGGCTAGTATCATTTCTATCACCAAGGTAATACTTTCCAACTACAGATCCTTCTCAATGATTTCAAACGTTCACATTTCAAACCCTAGTAATTATCAACATATCTTGATGTCAATTCCAGACTGAAGAATCTGGTAGAATTCTTCAATTTAATCATCATAACCTTTAGTGGTTGGTGCATACATTTGAATAATAATGATTTTAACTGGTCTTCTTTATAGACCAATGATATTTTTCTATCTCAGACAGCATTGTACTTTAAAATGGATCTTTTTGAGGATGAATTTGATGCTATTTTTCTTGAATTAGTCAATCCTAGCATAGTAAGCCATATGAATATCTTATTAAAATCACCAATACTTATCCACTTCATCTAAATAATATCTAGGAGGTTAATCTTTATGCATTCAATTTCATTTTGGATGACGTCCAATTTTCCTAGATTCATACTTTGTAGTTCCACTGCCTCTTGCACAGTGGGAGTGTGTGAGTGGTGGGCAAACTTGTGTTCACTCTTACGTTTGTTGCCCCATGTTTGGGGAAAGGGAGGGGGCAGTGGTGGGCAGGGAAGGGGTGGGTGTGGCACAGCCAAAGATTTCAGTAGGTTAAACTTGTACATTAAACTCGGTAAGAGGGCTCTATCATTGTTATCATGACTTCTTAAATACCATGGAAACTATTCTTTTTGAGATGAGGAAAACAACACAACTCTAATGTTTTCTCCAAAAGGTTTTTTACCCTAGCTTTTCTGATGGTATTTAAGTTGACAATTATGTCATAGATGTCTGTCAAAAATATTCTGACTTCCATGAATGAGTTTGACAATGACTGCTAATGAAGACATTCTGAAAGCATGAAGATGGGATGCTCTGAGATGAAACAGATAGAATTGAAATGCAAGCAACGTGTGTTCATGTGGACCTGTGACCAAATCAATGGAAATCTCACTGAGGGCTCATAAGCAGAAGGTGCAAAAAAATGCTTAAAGGGGTCTGGATATATCATTCACCCAAATTAATCTAGTCAGCCGCACACAAAACCTTTGCCATGGCCCATCTCCAGACTTTCAGGGTCCTTACAAGTCTATCAATTCTCATCTTCAAGTGTGTTGTGTATGGAGACCTTTGTTACCCAACATATCAATTCTTAGCTTTGACTGTGTGTTGAAATCCTCTGAGGAGCTTTAAAATCTCAGTGTTTGGGCCATCTCTTGGACCAATTCAGGAAGAAACTCTTGGGTTGGAACCTGAATATCCACATATTTTAAAGTTTCTTGGTGATTCCAGAGTGTAGCCATGTTTGAGAACCATAGATAATGTGTCTCCTGGACCCCTCATATTGTCCCTGCCTCAGAGCCTTTAATCCTGATCCCTTCCAAACCTGTTCAGATCTCTTCCATCTTCTTTCTAACTGATTTTCAAGTCCCTGTTCAAACTCCACCCACGGCACCTCCCAGACAACTGTGACCCATGTTAATCCCCTTCTTTCTGACTTCTTTGAGTCTCCCCACTCTGTGTCTTTGACAGGACATGGAGGAACTAGTGGACCAGGGCCTGGTGAAAGCCATTGGCATCTCCAACTTCAACCACTTCCAAATTGAGAGGCTCTTGAACAAACCTGGGTTGAAATACAAACCAGTGACTAACCAGGTATGTTCTGTTTCATAAACATTTGAAGACAAGTTCAGTGTTATGTACGAAGCCTCCTCTCAGGGGATGGTGATGAGATGCTTTAAGGAGGTATGAGATGGGTCACAGGGTCCAGCATCTAAGTGTACCAGAAGGCAGAGTTTGGTCTGTGGTTAGCTGTCTTTTTTGTGTGTGAGTAGAACTCCCCATGAGCTGATCCAACACAGGTCAACTTCCTAGTAATGGAGTTGTTTGCTTTTGCAGATTGAGTGTCACCCATACCTCACGCAGGAGAAGTTGATCCAGTACTGCTGGTCCAAGGGCATCTCAGTCACTGCCTACGGTCCCCTGGGCTCCCCAGACAGACCTTGGTGAGGCTCCTTAGGGCTCTTTCTCTTTATGCTGTTTTAAAAATGACTGATAATTGTTAATGTTGATATGAGTCTATAGGCCAATTATCAGTTGATATGAGTCTATAGAATAGTATGTTAAGACAATGAATTTGGCACCACTAATTGAGATTATAGAGTCCTGGTGTGGTGCTGTGGGTTAATACACTGGACTGTAAAGTCGGTTTGAACCACAAGGTCAGCAGTTCAAGCTCACCAGCTGCTCCTCAGAAACCCTATTCAGGATCTCTATGGATTGGAAGCGACTCAACGGTACTTAACAACAACAGTCAAGATTATTGTAGATAAAACTTGAGTGTTTCTCAATAGCAACATGCCTGACCCTTTACAGATATTCAGGTTCCTTCACTCAGAGCTGAATCAACCTTGTCCAAGGTGAGGTTCAGAGCACTAGGAGGGATCAAGGGTCAAATGAACTTTCTACCCTTTGCCTAATAGGAGGAGACTGTGAGTTGTACTGGGGGCATCATGGGAGGGATGCTCATCTACACATGGTTGTTGTTTTTGGGTGCCATCCAATCAGTTCCAACTCATAGCTGCCCTACGCTCAACAGAACAAAACACCACCCAATCCTTTGCTAGCCTTTCAGTTGTTGTTACACCTGAGCAAAGTGTTGCTGTCACGGTATCAGTCCATCTTGATGTTTTTTTCCCTTGTTCACTGACCCTACACTTTGCCAAGCATAATGTCCTTTTCCAGGGATTGGTTCCTCCTGATAATATGTCCAAAGTATGACAGATGAAGTCGAAGTCTCGCCATCCTTGCATCTAAAAAGAATTCTGACTGTACTTCTTCCAACACAGATTCGTTTGTTTGTCCATGGTACTTTCAATAGCCTTCTCCAACACCATAACTCAAATGCTTCAGTTCTTCTATAGCCTTCATTATTCACGGTCCAACTTTCACATGCATATGAGGCAATTGAAAATACCATAGCTTGGATCAGAAGTACCTTATTCCTCAAACTGATATATTTGCTCTTCAACACTTTAAAGAGGTTTTGTGCATCAGATTTGCCTAATGCAATACGTCATCTGATTTCGTGACTGCTGCTTCAAAAGTGTTGATTGTGGATCCAAGTAAATGAAATCTTTGACAGCTTTAGTCTTTTCTCCATTTATCATGATGCTCTTTATTGGCCCATGATGCTCTTTATTGGTCCATGATGCTATTTATTTTTGTTTTCTTTACCTTGAGGTGCAATCCATGCTGAACACTGTGGTCTTTGTTCTTCATCAGTAAATATTTAAGCCCTTTCACTTTCAGCAAGCAATATTATATCATCTGCATATTGCAGGTTGTGAAGGATTCCTCCTCAAATCTTGATGCCATGCTCTTCTTTTTATAATCCAGAAACACAGATTATTTGCTCAGCATACAAATTGAATAAATATGGTTAAAGAATAGAGACCTCATGCAAATCTTTCCTGATTTTAAATGATTCAGTATGCCCTTGTTCTGTGCAAACAACTGCCTTTTGTTCTATGTACAGGTTCTTATTAGCACAATCAAATGTTCCAGAATATCCATTCTTGGCAATGTTATTCATAGCTTGTCAAGACCCACACAGTCAAAAGCCTTTGCATAGTCAATAAAGCACAAGTAAACATCTTCCTGGTATTCTTTACTTTCAGCCAAGATCCATCTGACATGAGCTGTGATATCTCTTTCCACATCTTCTTCTGAATCCAGCTTAAACCTCTCGTAGTT